GGGGGCGGCGCCGCCACTGCCGGCGGTGCGTCGCGGTCACCTCCTGCCCCGGTCTCGGAGAGTGAAGTCTCCCTCCGGGCCGGTGGGTGCACCGTGCCGCCGTGGGGTACAGCCCTCGGGGGATACGGTATGGACAAGCGTTTACCAAACGGCCAGGAAGACAAGGTTTGCTGGTCATGGTTGATGAGATGCCAATCGGGAAAAAACAAACCAAACCAAACCAAACTGCACAAAAGCAGCTCGCCCGTGTCCCTCCAGGCTTTTGCAGTCAGTGCGGCTGTGGCAAAGCGCAGGCACAATCCTGGCCAAAACTGACAAAAGCACCGTCTGTGGAGAGCCGTCCAAGGACAGGCAGGCAGACAGGACAGCGGCAACTGTCACCTAGCCAGGGCATTTCAGAAATTCACTGTTTTTAATCCTAGGGGTTTTTTTCTTGTCCCTAGTTAAATCAATTTGGGAACATGTCCTTGTAGCTGACACCCTGGTTAAAGTCAAATCCCAGGGATATTTATAGCTCGTGTTTGGGAGAACTGCTGAATTGCATGCGAGGAAGACGGCAGAGCTTCCCCACGTGAGAACAACAGTACAAAACAAGCTAGACACAACACCCAATCTGTACTTTGTGTACAAGCGCAGCCCAGACCAGATCATGTGGCTAGAGCTGGGACGGTTCCTGCAAGAAAACTGCTGCCTAATTGAATTTCAGACTGTGGGGGGAAACGAGGCAGCAGAGACGAACACCACCCATCACTCTGAAATTCAGTGGCATGCAAGCTCAGTCAGACCAAAACTCTTACTCTGGTGTCACCCAGCAAATTCAGGATCATCTTTTGCCTCTGAGCCACGCTTGAGATCCAGGTGTAGGCTCTGGCTTTTGGACATTCGATGAATTTGGTCAATGAGCCAGGAAGACTGTGCATCCGCTACCACATGGACGCTAAAACCACATTCCAGCCCTATGCAAGTGAATTAAACTAAAACCTGCAAAAGCAGAGACGTGTGAAGAATCAATTTTTTTTCAGCATGCAAGCAGCTAGTCTTATTCTGGCACCCCTGTCGTCTGTGTCCTATGCTATGGAAGACTGACATAGTTACTGCTGTAGCAGATAGATGACATGTATTTCACTGCATTCTTGGTCATGACCTACAGTCCTCAGAAGAGTTATGCTTAGCAAGAACATTCTGTTGTGAGAAGTGCGAGTGAGCCAAACAGGAGGACAGAGATTCCTCCTACCCTCTCATGAAAAATGCTGCCAATAGCTGACTTGACAAAAGGGTGTTCAGTCACTGTCCTGCAGGATCTGTGTTGTGGCTTTCTGTTCCGGTGACACATTAACTTCTGGGCAGAGTGTCTCTTTCTACGTGCCTGGGCAGTGTCTAGAAGATGGCAGCCTAAAATTATTTAGGACCTCTTGGTACATCTGTAAGACAAAGCAGGTATTAAATCCAGCTCTTTAAAAAATTTCCACCTCACGCTGCTTTGAATTTTATTTTGACTTAGCTTTAAGGCATACTTCGCTCTGTACTTGCAGATACAAGATAATTGTAATATGCACAAATTCATAAAATTGAGGCATTATAGAACAATATAACATGGCTAACAAACTTAGTGGGTTCTGAATTTTGCTAGGGATTACTCCAGATTTCTTTCTGAAAAATACTGATAATACATGAGGATAGCATTTAAGTAGAAACTGTGTTACATGAAAAGTCCTGTTTGTTGGCAGAGAGAAAGCACACCTTATGTGTAAGTAAAGCCAATAATTTGTTGTTGATGTAACTGAAATCCTAAGACTCTAATCATTATTAGTCCAGGTCTAATTGTTACACAAAAAGAAAGGTGACAATTCTTTATGCGTGCACTTACTTTCTATCCCTTTTCTTGGTGATAAGGCTCACCCTTCTATTGCTGCTCTGGGTCTTTAGGTTGATGGTTTCATTCATGGGTGGTGGTGAGAGGAAGGCACATTACAGCAAGTTTTCAGCATCTGGAGTCCTTCTCTGGGAGGAATATGATGTTTATGCTGCTGGTTTCTTCTTCCTCACTCTAGAGGGGTACACTCTCACTTGGGGTTATTTGTATAAGTTTTTGTAATATATTTTTACGTGTCTCTCTGGTCATCTGCAGCTCCATGTCACACTTGAATATACTATGTGAGGTACAGTTTATGTTATGTTGGATACCGCTCTGTTCTCTTTTGTCTCTAGGTTACTCTTGCTTGGACAAAATGACCTCCAGAGTAGTCTGCAAATGCCTTGTGCAATTTACGGCCTGCCACCATGGTTTACATCTAATTGCTAGCAGCCTTAGGAAAAAAGAAAAAAAAAAGTTGCAGTGGGAAGTAATTTGGAGGAAGCAGAAAGTGTCTTAAAATGAGCAGAATCCAAGGAATAGTGGAAAAAAATAAGAACTTTAGAAGTCCATCTAATAGTTAGAAGCTGTGACGTCTGATTGTATCTAAAATGAACTAAGAGAACACCCACCAGTGATTACTAATCTGCCACCATCTGAATTGTATCTCCTCAATTGGGTGAGTGCCTAATATGAAACTGAGCTGGTAAAGCTGAGGGAATGGTAACCTCTTGAACGAAAGTAGGGTGAACAATTTGAAAGCTCTCAATGTACCGGCTTCAATGTACCAGAGCAGCACATCTATCATTAACCATAAATTTCCCAGGAAAGCAGAGACACTGCCTTTTGTCTTGATGGATGTCCAAATTAGAGCTTCAATGCAATGAAAACCGATACCATTTGGGCTGATGAAGCAGCCTATTCTGTTTTCTTGTTTAGGCAAAAAGTAAAACGGTGTGTTAGAGAGTTGGCGCAGTGGGTGAGATTAGCTCACGAGCCTCCCTGCTACTTCCAGATGCTGCTTGTGAACAGCCTTATACATTTCCCATAGAGGTGCTCCCACTGCGAGTTCTTCATGCTTGGACGTGGTGTATCTTACGGATCACTTACTGAAAGCTAATGACTCCAAGGAGTTATCTTTGCTACCTGCAGTAAACACAGCCTCATATATATCATCTAGTGGTGCAGTTTTAAGCTCACTATGAGACACAGAAGCTGGTTCTTACATTTTTTAGCTGCCTTGCATTCTAAGTTGAGCGCAACCTGTGTTCTGTCCTGATGTTCCCGAAAAATTAACAGCTATAAAGGGCAGGGCTTAACTGACAATGAGTAAGGTGAAAATAATCAGAGCATTACTTCAGAGACCACTCTCCAATAACCTCCATCTGCTGCAGGAATCTGTGTTATTGTTGCCCAAAGCCTCTACTAGACATTCAGATGTTCACCGCAAAATTACAGATCTGGTATCATTTCTCTGCAACAAAAGGCATTAAAGTCCATAACAGGCACAGGGTCTTTCAAGTAACTTTTCTGGTGAGGAAAATCTGTTCAACGTGATGGAGCAGGTTAATGAGTATTTATCACATGGAATTATATGTACTTCCTTTATGTTTTTCAGAATAAGCATTGCTGTATTATTTTACAGCATGAAAAGTGGTATAGAGAAGATGTACGCTGCACCAGCACCTCAGAAACCCAAGTGTCAAAGTGAATTAAAGAATAAGGCCAGAAATGGCTTGAAGGTTTGCTTACCTAAGTATGACTTAGCAAATGTAGCCTGACTGACCATAAAGAGGGGCCTGCAACCCCTGCAGAGCTACGATACGTAACAAGACAAGAAGGCTGGCACGTAGGCAACAATCATGAGGCCAGCACAATGTTATCTTATCTCTGACAAATGGAGAACTCCAAGAGGGAGGTAGCGTATGGTAATGAATTACTGGAAACTAATGAATATGTTAAGACTCCTTGTATGAATATGTATATATGTATGCATATATGTTGTCAAACCAACTTCGTCTGGCACGCACATTTGGAGGAGCGATCCCCTGTGCGTCCAGTGCTGCAATAAAGGATACCTGCTTAATAGTCATCCCAGCTATTGAGTCCTGATTTAGTCTTTCACGGCATCAAAAGTACTTCCAGCATTTTTAATAGATGCACCAGGCTGATGCAGGTCCTACCTATATTCTCCTGCGCTTCATCATAAATAAAACTCCTGACTCAGGAATTTAGCCCTCTTCCTTTTCTCTGCCACATCTGGTATAACAAATAACTATAGGAAGGGGATGCTGCTCTTAAGTTTGGTGTTTGTTGGGTGTTTTTTTAAATAAATAGCCTGATTAACCTAATTAACTTTATTTTTTAATTCTGGGAAAAGGGTATGTTCTGTTGGCTGTGACGCTCATGCTTAGAAATTTTGTTTGCAGTAAAATGATTATTACCTTGGTTGCTGTTTAGAAGCTGGTATTTGTAAAATAAACCACGCTTTTATTTGTAAAATAACCCACGCTTCACACACAAAGAAATTAAGGCACGCTCATACGCTCAGAGACCAAAGCACAGAAAGGCCCGGGTATTGCAAACCTGCGTTTTGCCTGAGTCCCCTCGTCCTTCCACATGCACCTTGACCACGCCGAGGCCGCCACCGCTCCTTGCAGCGGCGGGCCCCACCGAGGCGCCATCCCACGCACCGCCTCCCGCCCTTTCGCGCCCGCGGAGGAAGCCTCCACAGCCAGGGAAAGGCCCCGGCCCGCCCCCCGGTCCCGCTCAGCCGCTGCCCGCCCTCCCCCAACCGCCCTAACGGCTCAACGCCCGAGGCGCGCGCCAGCAGCCCGCCCCTTGCTGCCCAACCGCGCTCCTATTGGCGGGCGGGGGAGGCACGTGACGGGCCAGCAACTGCACGTGGCGGCGGCCTTATTAGGGCCTCGGTGAGGGGCGCCATTTGCTTCACGGCAGGGCTGTAGGCGGGAGTGCGGCCTAGGCGCCTGCCTTACAGAAGCAGGAGGGTCTTTCCTGTAAAGCCCCTCCACATCTGCGACGGAGTAGGGGTTGTGAATGAGGACAACGAGTGTGCTGGGAGAGGTAGGTGTCCTCCTGCACAGGTGCTGTGGGGCCTGCTGGGAACAGGCAGGGGATCGCCGCTAATATGTTTTGTCTCCTGCAAGCAGATCTGGCAGTGTCCAGTATGAGCGAAGAGGACTGGAATGCAGAGCTGGGGGAAGAGCCATCGCGCTTCCCTCCACCCTTTGAACAGGTATGGGGTGGCAGCTGTAGCATGTTTGCTTCTTTTCCCCTTCCTTTCTCCCACTCTGTGATCTAGGTGGCTGGTGGACTGTGGTCCCCTGTTCTGGGTCTTGAAGCACCTGGAGGAACTTGCCCTTAACTTGAGTGTTGGGAATGCAGTGTATTCTTAACAAATAGTAGCAATTGTAGTCTCTCAAAATGTTGAGGTGCCTTATTTCCGTGGAGGGTACTGGGCCGTGATCTGTGTAGCCAATTATTGTTACTCTTCTGGTTGCTTAATGCTGCTTCCTTCCATTGGGTTGTGAGAGGATGCATACTTTTTTGAAAAAGCATGTGGCATAACAGTGGCACGTACTAGCAGCTCATGGCACGTACTAGCAACTAGCCCAATACATGGGCTAGGCATTGAGTACTTAACGTGGGTAGGCTTGTGGACCAGCAGAGGCTGAAAGGGAAGTAGCAAAAATTTACATAGGGCAGAAACTTCTAATTGCAGATCAGTTGTGGTAGGGGGTATTCAAGTTTTATAACTACTGAAAGAGGTGAGTCCTGTTGCCTGCACTTTTTCCTTTCTAATGCACTCCTGTTGCTTTATGTATATTGGACTTACCGTTTCTGAAGTTGTGAGATAAACTAAGAGCAGATTGCTTGTTTTGGGGTTTTAGTAGGCTGCAATTTCTTGTGCAAGTCCGATTAGTTTGATGATCCTTTTTACTGTCTATTGAATAGTGAAAGGGCAGTGATGCAACTACATTACTAGGGATTAGCCGAAATCATGTCTTTAGGTGGAAGTTCTTGGCTGTGAGTTAGGCATGAACTGTGACTTCTCTCTCTGTGCTGTTGCTCTCCTTCTAGCTGTCTTCTGTTTGCTGTCTCTTTCTGCTGGCAGTCACTGAATTGCAATTACTTTTACCTCGGCAGCAAAAGGAACATGGGTGATCTCTCAGCTGATCTCCATTGTTCAGTTAATATTGCATTCATGTTGCTTCTAAATGGTGTGATCCTAAATGCATAGCTACCATAGGAAGGATGAGGAGTGTAGCTGTTCGAGGTTTGTCAGTAGGACTTTGAATATTATTTACAGTGTGTTTTTGCAAATACGGTAGGCTGCTGTAGGAGGAGTTTACCGCTACTGAAGAGAGGAGGTTTCCTCCCCACCAGCAGTTTGCTTGCTGCTGTTTTTTGTTCAGGTTCCAGTGTTTGTTGTATACTTCCGTGAGCTCTTTTAATTTGTAGCAGCTGTATTTCCAGATCTGGATAGTTCCCAGTCTTCCTTCCCAAGTTCTCAGGAAGATATTGTATATCCAGAAATAGGTGGAGCTGTTGCTTCTTCTCATATCTTCTGTTTAAGATGCTTCTGTAAGTTGCCTCTGTTGCCCTCCCACCCCAAGTGAGCTGTGCTAATGCAGTGTAAGGCTAGAAGGAAGGTTGCCAAAAGAAGAAATTACAGTGTACGCTTCCAGAATAGTAATTTTACGAATTTAGGTTTAATGTCCGGTAGCGGTTGCTAGCTGCACTGGGAAGTGTGAAAGCTCTAGTAAAGCTAAAAAGCAGAGTCTTGAAGTAAAGGCTTAGGTAGTTATGTGACATTCCTGAGTCAGCTGGTGGTTTGGCTTACTAGTACATGCGTGGCTTGTGTTAAATAGGAGAAAATTAAACATGTCCTTTGGAAGTAAAACTGACCTGTAAGGGTAAAATGGGAAAATTAGGTGCTGTTCTGAATTGTTTCAAATGGAGTATCTGAACCTTTGACTAAATGGGCAGGGACTGACGTATTTCAGATAATTCTTTATGAGGTAATGTGTGATGTCCATTAGTAAAACCAATATGAACAGTCTGAAAGACTAGAAAAGAAAAATCTTCAAAATATTGTTTTAAACAATAAGTGTTTCTTATATCCAAGGATTAAAATGTTTGGCAAGGTAACATGATGCCTCCATAATCACTGATATAAGGCAAAATAAACTTACTTAACTTCTTAAGTCAACTGTTTGTAGTGTGGTTTTGGTGACATTCAGATGCAAACACTATGCCGTTTAATATACTGAAGTGTAATAAACTGAAGTTAACAGAAGAATCTGAGAGATTGCATTTCAGAAGGTGCATAAGGCAACTTCTTTCAACTGCAAGGCTTAGAGGCTGCATTTGAATTTATGTACTCTGCTTGGCCTGGGGTTAACGTGATGTTGTGCCTTTATTCTTTTTGTAGGCTAGCTTCTCTGGAAGACCAAATGACTCCTCGTCTGACTTCAGTCCAAGTGTGGACTCGTTTGGTATGTGAAGGGCAGTTTTGATTTTACTGACATTTGGGGGACTTGATTCCTTGAACAGTTGAGGAGATTAAAGAAAACCACAGTATTATCATTGTGGTATATTCATGTATACCCCTGGGGTACACAACATCAAATTATATGGGTAACATAACAAGTAGACTTCCCTTTTGACCCTCAACCCTTCTTTATTTACTACAAGTTATGTGCTCAATAGTGTATAACCTCTAATGAGAGTCAATAGTTGTTACCTCACAAGCATTTCTAAAACAGACTGTACTAAACGTGAACAGTACTGAAAAATAACAGTTATGTGCAATGTTGAGTAGTTCTTGTGAGGTCCTGTCTGACCGTTGTGTTGAAAATAAGAAAAGGTCAGATGAAGTTGTTGAAGGAAAACTTAGATCCATTCAAAAAAAGCCACCAAAAACCACAAACCAAAACATTAATGTTTGGTATCAAGTTTCTGGAAAGCACTCTTGAATTAATGGAGATGATGCCTTTATAAGCTTGATCAGAAGTTTAGATATAGAAGTTTTAAATGTGTCAAGCCAGAGTTGCTGCTGAAAGTAGTTTGCCCCAGGCTTTCCTTTGTGTGACTCTACAATAGACAGATCAGGAAACAGTTTCTGTTTAGAACTAATTGTGGGATTAAGGCAGTTGGGGTGTTCTTGCTGTAGTCTATGAGTTTAGGAATGTTCTTCAAGACTGCTCAAAGATGTTTTACATTTAGAGAAATTCTGTGTGAGGTGAAAATTTTGAATGTATCATTTAGTTGATACAACTGTGGTAGAACAACCTAAACTTTATTTTAACAAATTGTGATTAGCACAAATTAAATTGATACTACAGAATCTTAGAACAGCCCAGGCTGCAAGGGACCTTGAAAGATCATCTGGCCCAACCTGTTGTCATAAAGGAAGCCTAGATGATACTATCTAGCACCCTGTTCCATCTTGAAAAGCTCCGGTGATGGGGACTCCACCATATCCCCTGAGAATGTTGTTCCAGTTGCCTTTGTCTTCTACATGTGGCTTCTTTTGAAGAGAATGCCCCTGTCCTCTTTGTAGATGCCCTGCAACTACTGTGTGGAGTACTGTGATCAGGTCCACCCTGAACCTTCTCCAGGGAGAAAAGACCTAACTTCCTCAGCCTTTCCTCGTAGGACAGGTTCTCCGTATATGTAACTGCTTATGTGTTTATGAGCAGTTAGAACATGGCAGTATGTTTATTGCTGATGTATATTTCCCCTGCCTTTTAGTGTATAACTGAAAGGCAGACTTAACTTTCTCCAATTCTGTGTCCCCAAGATGTTGGGAAATTTGGAAAGTAGGAACAGGCTATCACTTGCACTTCCTGAATTATTCTTAATTTGCAGTTACAGGAAGCTGAAAAGTCTGAGCCCAGACTTTGCATTTATCCCAGTACAGCAGAAGTGTTTTATGAAGTCTTCAGGTTGCAAGCTTCAGTAATGGCTTGATAGAACAAATCAGAAAGACAGTGCCTGTGTGGAGAACTTGAGTTACAACTTAGGTGGAAGTGAGTCTTGGAGCTTTGTGTTTCGTTTGTTCCAACTCTGTGACTGTCAGCTCTGACTGCTAACATTTCCACTACATACTCCAAAAATAACTAAGTATTCTCTTGATTTGTGCCTTTTGTACTGAGCTCGTGGCAGGGAGGGCTTTCCTGCTGAAGGTCATGCTTTCACTGTCATCACTAACCATTTATTCCTTTCCTGAGCTAGGTGTATTATGCCATTTTAGATCAGTGTGAGCAATTTCAAAGTGTCTGTTTTGACTTAACACAATCTTTCTCATTCTTCTTAGTTGATAGGGAACTCTACCTGTGTTTTCAAGCATAAGTCACAATACTGACTGTAAGACTTAATACTGCTAGATAAGAGCAAACCTTATTTGCTGTTTAAATGAGGACTTAATCAAAATTGCTTGTGAAGGCCAGAGGTCTTATGTGTCTTTTTTTGACCTTGTTCAACAGGGTGCATCAGTATCAGGGATTCTTTCCCTACAACGTAATACAGAAAGGTGTGTCTTTTTTTTTTCTTTCAGAAAAAGTTGTATGGGCCTTTTTTCCCTTGCAAAACTTCTAATTTGTGAACAGATTGTGCTTTAGCTGACTTTTACATTAAACTCTCATGAGCTGCTCTCTTGTATGCAATGCACTTCTGGGCTCCATATACTTGAGAAGTGTATTGTTGGTGGTATAACTCGCACTAAATAGCATAAGTAGAGTTAAATTATGCAGGTTAAACTTCAATTTTGACTTTTTTTTTTTTCTCCTTGAAACAGTATCTAGTGGTAGTACTTTTGCGTAAATGCACAATGAGGATAAGCTAAAAGTAATATTGCATACTTGCAAATTATTTTTTTATAGAGCTTCACTTTGACTTAAAACAAATGAATTTGCTCTTTGTATTGCTTCTTGATGAAAACAAAACTTTCTTAACAAGCTGACTGTTCTGAATTTTTGATTCTCAAGGAAGTTTTTTATTTCCTGTTTCATATTCCTTTGGTGCTTAAAAATAAAAGCAAACCACCCACAAAAAACCCCAAACCCACAAACCAACAACAAAGGGAAAGCAGAATTAAAAGTCTTGCTAAAATGACATTTGTTGAGTATGTACAAGATTTGGGGGTGGATGTCTCTGGAATGGATTAAAATTGGGATTTTAAATCCCTATGTACAGTGGAAAAATATAAGTGAATGCATATGATGAGGAAATCAGTGGATCTAGGAGCTGTTTTTCAGGGATATGCTTACGAAACACTTGATTTTAATTCCAGTGATTTGGAGCTGAGAAATCATTCTGATCCTCTTAATCTGTGAAATACTACTTGAAAATTAGTAAATTTTGAGTGGTAAATGTGATGAATTAAACACTAGCATTTGGTACTTCTGGATTCCCTGTAAGACTAGTTAGTTTGCAAACCTGTATAGACGTGAGTCACATGAGTAATTTGCATAGTAGGTGAATAATTGTGAAAGTTGCTGTACTTTTACCAGACTTAATAGGTTGGTCAGGAAGTAACAGTGCATTCTACAGTTCATTTGGTGAAAGTGCTAAGCATAGCAGACTTCACTAAAGAATGTTTATTAGTTCTGTCCTGTTCGCTGTCTGTAAGTCCAGCATCTTTCATTAGTAGAGACAGTGAACACAGAGGGGCAGCGCATTGAAAGAACTTATTAAAGTAGATGCTTTCCTCATGAAGTATTTTGTTGGCACATGATGAAACTTTTAATATTAACTTGGTGTACTTGAAGTGTGGAAATCTCAATGGAAGAGGAGGAGTGATGGAGTAAGAATTGTCTTGATGGCAAGTAAAGGAAGGAGAGTTCCCTCACTTCTTTAGAGGCAAATAGACTCTGTCAATGGAAGCCAATCTGTTATGGTAAACCATAAAAACATCAGTTTAAGTAATTGGTAAGGTGTCTTTGTTTCTTGTTCTGTGTTGTGTATAAACATGAATCTCAGAATCTTTTGTACTGTCTTTGCCACAAACTACTCACTTAAATCTTCCAAGTGAGCATGAACTCTGAACACTGTTCAGACTACAAAAGCAGTAGCTTAACCCTTTGAGTATTGAATGAACAAAGCTTCCTAATTGAGTGACGTGATATATAAACCAAACATCATCTGACATGTTGTTTTCTTTATGACAAGCTCTTGTATGCAGGTAATCTCTTTAACTAATATATTTGTCTTCTTGTGGAATGCACTAGTGCCTGTTTTTTTTCAGGGGTATCCATGTTGTTATGTTAAGCAGTTTTAATGTGGAAGGAAAACACCAACAGTCATTTTCCATGATGTGCCATATGGAATCATAGAATCATAGAATGGTTTGGGTTGGAAGGGACCTTAAAGATCATCTAGTTCCAACCCCCCTGCCATGGGCAGGGACACCTCCCACTAGAGCAGGTTGCTCGAAGCCCCATCCAGCCTGGCCTTGAACACCTCCAGGGATGGGGCACCCACGACCTCCCTGGGCAACCTGTTCCAGTGCCTCACCACCCTCATAGGAAAGAATTTCTTCCTCATATCTAATCTAAATCTCCCCTCTTGCAATTTAACACCATTACTCCTTGTCCTGTCACTATACTTCCTGACAATGAGGCCCTCTCTGGCTCTCCTGTAGGCTCCCTTCAGATACTGAAAGGCTGCTATTAGGTCTCCCCAGAGCCTTCTCTTCTCCAGGCTGAACAACCCCAGCTCTCTCAGCCTGTCCTCATAGGAGAGGTGGTCCATACCTCTCATCGTCTTCATGGCCCTCAGCTGGACCCGTTCCAGCAGATCCATGTCCTTCCTGTGTTGAGGACTCCAAAGCTGGACACAGTACTCCAGGTGGGGTCTTAGGAGTGCAGAGCAGAGGGGCAGAGTCACCTCCTGTGACCTGCTGGCCACGCTTCTCTTGATGCAGCCCAGGATGTAGTTGGCCTTCTGGGCTGCCAGTGCACATTGCTGGCTCATGTTAAGCTTCTCATCCACCAACACCCCCAAGTCCTTCTCCTCAGGGCTGCTCTCTAGCCATTCTCCACCCAATCTGTATTTGTGGCTGGGATATAATTGCACATCATGAAGTTTTTCCAGGCTTTTATGTTTTGATTTCAGAATTCATATTTTTGTGGTGGTTGCTGGTGTACCCTGATCTTGACTTGGATACTGCAGAATAGGAAATTTTATTTTTATAGAATCACTTAGGTTGGAAAGCAACTCTGAAGATCGGCTGGTCCAAATCCTTGCATAGCGTAAACTGCAGCAGGTTGCTCAGAACCTCGTCCGCTGAGTTTCAAATTTCTGCAGGGATGGAGACTATCCAAGCTTTTTGGACAACTTGTCTAGTGTCTAGCTGCTCTGAGTAAAAAGGTTTCCTTATGTTAAAATGGATTTTTCCGTATTTTGATTTGTGCCCATTGCTGCTTGTCCTCTCATTGGGTAGCAGTGAAAAGGATCTGTTCTGTTTGCTCACTTTTGTTACGATGTAAGATCCTGTGAGCCTTGCTTCCAGGCAGAGCAGTTCTAGCTCTCAGCCACTCTGTATGACAGATGCAGTGGTCTCTCCATTGTCTTTGTGGTCCCTTGCTGGACGCACTGCAGTATGTCAGTGTCTGTTTTGTACTGGGCAGCCTACAACTGGATGCAGCGCTGTAGATACAGCATCATCAGCAGGGAAGGACCACTTTACCCCCTTGCTGGCAGTGATTTTCCTAGTGTAGCCCAGAATGCTGATGGCCTATACTGCAAGGGCACATCGCTGGCTTATGTTCAGTTTACTATCCAATGGAGCCCCCAAGTTTTTCTCTGCAAAGATGCTTTCCAGCTGGTTGGCAGCAGTGTGTACAGGTGCCTGAAGTTATTCCTCCACAGGTGCAGGATTTTTGTGTTTCTCTTTGAACTTCAAAGTTCCTGCCTGCCCCATGTCTCTAGTATGTTTTGAGTTTCCTCTGGATGAAGCACCGCCCTGTATTATGTCCTGGATTTGTGCGTCTGCAAACTTGTTGAGGGAGCATTCTGTCCTGTCATCTGTACCATAAATGAGGATGGTAAACTGTGTTGGCCCTGGTATCAAACAGTAGAGTACTTTGCTAGTGATTGGCCTCCAGGTGGAGCTTGTGCTGCTGATCACAATCCTTAGAGCCCAGTGGTTCACCCTGCTTTCAGTCCTCCTCACTGTACAGTCAGGTAGGCAGTATTTAATTGGTTTGTGTATGAGTATGGTATAGGAGATGGTGTCAAAAGCCTTACTTTCTTGTTTTGCAGGTGTTGATGAAAAACCTAACAGAAGTCAGCATATGCAGGATCATTTTGGAGAGTATTCTGGGACTAGAGGTAGGATTGCATGATTAAAGTTTGTAGTTTTGGGCATGATTAAGCCTTCCTTTTGGACAAGCCACTTAGAATGGAGGACTTTGCAACTGGTATCTGAGCAGATTCTGGAAACTCAAATTTTACTATGTTGGTAGCAGTACTGTTGCTGAGTGGTGCAATTCCTTATAGAAAACAGTAGTTAACACCTGACCTAAGCTTGTAATTTTAATTCGTTTTCTTTGTCTCATAAAAGGATACCTTTATCATGTGGTGTTTTTTATTGGAATGTGAGGTAGGCTGCAGACCTGAGGTCCCTTTCAGCCAGAATGATCCTGTGATTTTACTGTTGAGTTGGAAAAAAACCCCACCAAACTGAAATGATAACAAAAAAATCCAAACACACCCAAAACCAAAAACCTACCCTGAAGTCAAAGATATGTTTGAATGTTAAGTTGATTCTTTCTTCTAATTATAGATACTGATGAAGGTCTGAACAGGCAGTATCAACCAGCACGTAGATTCGGTAGTGGAAGGAATTTTGGAAACAGAGGTAACTTTTTGGAATATCTGTAATTCTAGTGGCTAGTCATATTTGGTACATTAAATTTTCCCGTTTCAGGTACTCAGTTTCGTTGTATTGGAGCTAAACGAGTATTTATGACTTGGAGGGTAACACCAATCCTTACTTCTGCATAACGTAGGCACTCAGTATCACCCCTTCCTTTTGACTGCACAACATAAAATACCTCACCGTATTTGCCTGAAGGCAGGGCTCTACATTTAAAATCAATTTTCTGTTTACTTCTTGCTTTGATATTGCTCTCCCTGGAGAGGGGTATTTTTCTTACAATCTCGTTGAGTCATAATGTAGTATTCAAGGCAGTATACAAGCAATATTGGTATTCATATATATACACCATGTGAGGGAGTATACCAGTGCTCTTCTGTGGAAGACCTGAAAGCTTTCTTTAGTTATACATAAAGCAGTATTTAATCTCTGTCTTCTTCCTGCTTATGATGGTGAGTACCACCACTTTTATGCAATGCACATTGAAAAAGTTAGTAATTGGCAGTCTGGCAGTGCTGCCATATATGGTTCTGCTAGGTACTATTGAAAGCACGTAGGACAGTGGAAGCTGCTAATCACGCAGCATCTGTCTAGATAGATAGTTCTATAGCTGTAAGTGGGCCTGGTTTTGAAACAAGGAAGGTGTCCTGGTTTGGGCATGTTTAGCAAAAGTTCAGAGCTTCAGAACAGCTTTGGAGCCACATAATAACTTCATGTTTATTCTTTCAAGAAATTGGATACAGTTTCTGCATCTCTTGGATGGATGCCCTTTATTGGTATTGGAATGCTAGACTTGTTTAATTAAGCAGGCAGCAACACTGGTGATGCTGTGGGATGATGATGAAGAACAGTTGGCTGTAGACTCTCCAGCAATTGTGAAATAACTCACAAGCTGTATTTAAGGTCTGTAGCATTTATGGTTGTTGATACCTATACAACAACTAGTATTGTTAATACCTATACTCTTTTGTATGTGAGCCTTTAAGAGATGATTTTTATTTTTTCTAATTTGGAAAAGCTCAAAAGACACAAATTAGTATGCACCAAGCGTAGAAGGAGCTACTGTTGCTTTGGTAGGAGAAGTCATTATAGAATTGTAAATGGTTTGGGTTGGAAGGACATTTAAAGGCCGGTTAGTTCCAACCCCTCTGCCATGGGCAGGGACACCTCCCACTAGACCATGTTGCTCAAAACTCTCCTCTGTCCTGTAGGCCCTCTTTAAATACTGGAAGGCTGCTATAAGTTCTCCCCGGAGCCTTCACCTCTCCAGGCTGAACGACCTTCTTGGTCTTATTTAGCAGAAGATGCTGTTTGTCATTACAAGATGATAAAACAGCTGTTGAGTTGAAGAATAAAGACTAAGAAGTAAATGATGATACAAGCTTGAATCTTAGACAACACCTAAAATTATCCAATCTAAAATGAGAAATACCTTGTTTACGCTTGTGGCTGTTAACTTCCTCTCCTTCTCATCAAGAGTGTGTAGAAATAAAAATAGGCTAAATACTTGGCCCTTCCTGTCTTAAGCAACTGAATAAGCAATTCTGAGTAATAAAAAAAGTTGAAATTGGTAAATCTGAAAGTCAGGTTTTCAATTGCTCCACAGGAGGCAGCAATTGCAATCCTACCTCATTTCACAGTACTGGTTATGAAAACTGAGAAGGTACAAATGCTGTTAAATTGTCCTGTGACTGAAGCAGAGGACTGAACTGATCTGCATCATAACTGGAGAGTTGAAGTTAGTAGTTTATAAAGCTCATATGCATGTGAAGTCAAATGCTTCAAGACTTCGTGTTTGATTTACTTTTTGCAGGAAGCAGTACTACAGAATAGTAGGCCTTTTGTTGTGCTTTTTGGCAAAAAAAAATACTTCTTCTCTTCATTTCTCATATGTTTAGGTGAATCACTTTGTTTTATTGTACTTTTAATCTGAATTTGTAAAATAAGGACTGCGAAGAATAATTACCAAACAAGACACTTGATCCACACATGCAAAATTGGGCGAACTAAGTTGTTGTGTGCTATGCTATACTCCAGGTTTTCAAGAAAGGAACATAGAAGATTCTAGTACACAAAGAGGCTTTAGAGGATTTCCTGGCGGCTTTGGACGAAGTGAGGGTAAGTTTTTTGGTTTTTATGTTGCGGGGTTTATGTGGTGACAACATACATTTGATTATTCTTTCTGAGTTTGGTTTCTGCCTGAGAACTACAAGTATAAAGGTGAAAGCAATGAAATAACTTCTGCTCTTCAGCTGTGTTATGGAACATGGATGGTGTCTTTGAGAAATAGTATCACTGGGAATAATACCACAGCGTAGGTTGGAGTTATAAAGAATCTGTTGGAGCTGTTGCACTGTAGAGTTTTGGGAGTAAATAGTATTAGCTTTAAGCATAGTCTTTCATTATACTAATTTTAGACATTCTATCCACTGCACTGTGTGTTACTTACAGGTATTAAAGATGAGCAAAGAGGCAGACCTCAGTCTGGTGCTTTTCTTGGCTTTAGAGGAAGAGGAGCATTTGGAGGTCGTCCAGGTGAGACTTTTTAGTATGGTGGTGAACCTTTCAGATTTCCTGATTGCTGACTTCTGGCAATGCAATACCTTCTTAGCTTTGCTAAACGCTATCACTGTGATTGCTCTCCCTGTCTGAATAAAGAACCTACTGCAAATGTTAGATGTCTTGTGTGGGCATGCGAGCAAAGGTATGTTTGTAACTTGGATAAATTTTAGAAAGTGGATTTTCAAAGCTGTTGTCTTCAGTAATTTTTTTTCTTGGTCCTGCTGCTACTGGGTCAGTTAATGCACAGTAAAGCAGAGATGCTAGCCCCAAAATTCAAAGCGAATCTTAAAGAACTTGCTCAGCTTTGAAGCAGTCACTCCAGACTTTTCCACTTCCCCTATAAAGGCAAATACTGTTTCAGGTTTTTCCAGGCTGACAGGTAAGGTTTGTACCTCTGGGGGCCAGGTCTTCTTGATGACTTTATTCTAATGTTGGATTTTTTGCTGTCTACAAAGGATCTTTCTCTCATGGTCCTACCTTCCTGTGCCACTGATGCTACTGTAACTTGTAAGCTACGTGTTGTGATACCTACAGCATAGCTATTTATCACTTGCAAAAGTTCCATAATTCAAGTCTGGAATACCATTGAACTAGTGTAATGCATAGTGGGAGGCTGGTAATCTCAATGTAAGAACATTTTGTGTGATACTGGTAAAAGAATTTTTCACTGTAGAAAAGATATAATGATTTGTGTATATGTTGTCAGAAATGCTCGTTAGTATCCAGAGAACAATTGATTTGGCTCTATTTGACTTGGTTCAAATTAAATTTTTCAGAATTTTAGTTCAAATAATGATTTTCAGTAACTTAAGTGTTTATAGAGGCAGCATGCTAATACTCACCGTGGACATAACTGCATCCTTAACACAGGTTTCCATACTTTTTCATGACCATTGTATAAAATGATATCCATAGCAGTCTTTATGTACTAATGTTAGGTGACAGTTGCACTAGTCTGTGTAGAGGTTCACATGGAAAGATAATTCTTCATAAAGAGTGGTTTGTGCACGTGAAGAGAATGTGTCTGGATCTAGCGAAGGAACAGAGCAAGCACTGCTAGGCTGTTGTGCTGCCTCCACCTCTGAATAGTGCTTATGTAATCCTTAACAGTTTGTAGTTAATGAAGGTAGGGCTGTGCTGGCTTTTCTTAGGGTGGTTATGATTTTTGCATAAAAGTGATTACAGACACTCTATGTTGTGTCTTTGCTTGTTTTCTGTGTCACCATCTCAACGAAGCTATGGTTCTACAGAGTTGCTTAAGAGTATTGCTGCTGAATAAAGCATTCCTGATCGAAGTCACATTATTGGCTGCCTCTTTACAAGTAGCATAAATACCAGTTAATAATTTGAGAATTTTTTGTTGTTGAGAATGAGCAATAGGATTAATGTGCTGCCCTGATGCTATTCTTTTGTGGTTGCACTGCTGCAGTGAGGATGGAGGAGGCATTGCAGGGTGATTATACTTCTGTGGTACTGGTATTAAAATTGTCATTCTCATGGTATGATTTTCATGAATGGCTTGAGCTACACATTTGAGTACAGAACCTATTAATGGTTTGTGTTGCTGTCTTTATTTTTCACTCAGTCTTGTCCCTTACCTAAATTTCTAACCTTTCTTTTCCAGAGGGGCCTTAGGTTAAAGGTTTTCTTTACTCTTTCAAATCAGCAACCGAACTTCCTGCACAGAGTAGCTGGAAACTACCAGTTAGGTTTAAGGCTTATCCCATGTTGTGTATAGTAAGAGTAAGGACTGAAAACAGATTCTGGGAATGCTGCTGTTAATAGCTCAGTCTTAATATGGTTTTTACACATGTAAAACATGTGGTACTTCCTCACTCTTTAAGAATAAATGTCTGTTTTTCAAGCAATAATGAAAGCAAAACCCACACAATATGTGGGTGTAAAGGTCAGAACTTCATGGAGTGGTTGTTATAATATGTGGCTGTTGAAAGAGTTAGGATAGTTTCCTGTTCTTGAAAAATTACTGTGATGACACTGAGGTTCATGAGAAAGACCTGAGTCCTGGTGGACAATAGGATGACTGTGAGCCAACAATGTGCCATTGTGGCCAAGAAGGTCAATGGCATTCTGGGGTGCCTCAGGAAGAGTGTGACCAGAAGGTCGAGAGAGATTATCCTCCCCCTCTACTCTGCCCCACTGGAGCACTGTGTCCAGCTCTGGGCTCCCCAGTTCAAGAACGACAGGCAACTGCTGGAGGGGGTACAGCGGAGGCCTACAAAGATGATTAGGGGCCTGGAGCATCTCCTTTACGAGGAAAGGCTTGGGTCTTTTTAGTCTAGAGAAGAGAAGACCGAGGGGGGGATCTGATCAATGCTTATAAATACTTAAAGAGGTGGTGTCAAGAGGATGGGGCTGGTTTTTTTTCAGTGATGATCAGTGACAGGACAAGAGGTAATGGGCACAAACTTGAATATTAGAAGTTCCACCTAAATACAAGGAAGAACTTGTTTACTTTGAGGGTGGCAGAGCACTGGAACAGTCTGCCCAGGGAGGTGGTGGAGTCTCCTTCTCTGGAGACATTCAAAACCTGCTCGGATATGTTCCTGTACAATCTGCTCTGGGTGGACCTGCTTTGGCAGGGGGGTTGGACTAGATGGTCTGGAGAGGTCCCTTCCAGCCCTATGTGATTCTGTGACTGGCTCTTTTGTTATTTAGTAGTTGGTTATATAGCGTAAAACAAGCATCTCCTGTTTTTGTGGAAAAGTTGCATGATTCTTAAAACCAGAATACTGTAACAGTAAGCATGTGTGAATTTCTCATTACAATATTTTATCATTTTTAGGGCAAAAACCTTAACTTAAGAGGTAACAAAACAAGGTTATAAAACAGCCATTTTGTGGCACTTCAGTTTCTTGTTACAGATGCATTTTTTAGTTCATGATTCATCTCCAGTGAGTATAGACAACTTTATCTGCCCTTGCAAAGCAAGTGCTGGATTTAGGAGGGATTGTTCCTCTTGATTGTCTTTAAATACAACTTGCTTTATCTAGATATCATGTGACGGCATCTGCGATGATTGCATTTGATTTGGTAAGAGACCTAATAAGAGGCAATTAAGGACCAGATCTGGTTTGTGAAGTCCTCAGCAACATGCCGGGTTCAGTTCCTTGATACTGTTACTGCAAGGTCCTGCTAAGCTCTGACATCCTCTCTTTCTGCCTTTTAAAACACAAATATGGGGCCTTTGTCTTTAGGCTTTTTGTAACTGACTACCAGAAGCCTCAAGGCAATGAAAAGGGATTTCAGAACTGGTCAAGGGGTCAGGAGCACAGGTGGTGTTCTCTTCTATCCCGGCAGACATAGGGATGGACGAAGGGCTAAGTAGGAAGAAACAACAAATCAACTCATGGTTAAAAGGCTGGAGTAAACGGCAGGACTTTGGATTATTTGAGCACAGGCTGATCTACAGGTCACCAGGCGTGCTTGCAGCAGCGGGGAGAGAAGAAACAACAAATCAACTCATGGTTAAAAGGCTGGAGTAAACGGCAGGACTTTGGATTATTTGAGCACAGGCTGATCTACAGGTCACCAGGCGTGCTTGCAGCAGCGGGGAGAAGCAGGGCTCATTGAGAGAGCTTTAAACTAGATTTGAAGGGGGACGGGGTTGGAACCAGGGTTACTAAAGTGGTGCCCGGGAGCAGTGCGCCAGTGCTATTAGGTAAAGGTGCCAGCCCTTCCAGAAAAAGAGTGGGAGAGTTAGCCCAGCTGAAGTGCATCTACATGAATGCATGCAGCACGGGCAACAAACAGGAGGAGCTGGAGGCCATCATGCGACAGGAAGACTATGATCTAGTTGCCATCACAGAAACGTGGTGGGAGGACTCGCATAACTGGAGTGCTGTGATTGATGGCTACCAACTGTTCAGAAGGGACAGGCAAGGAAAGAGAGGTGGTGGGGTGGCCCTTTATGTTAAGAACAATATTATATGCCTAGAACTCAGCAATATGCACAATGACAGTGTTGAGTGCCTATGGATAAGAATCAATGGGAAGACCAGTAAGGCAGACATTGTGGTGGGAGTTTGTTATAGGCCCCCAAACCAGGATATAAAGGCTGATGAAGTATTCTATAGGCAGCTGACAGAGGCCTCATAATCACTCTCCCTTGTACTCATGGGGGACTTCAACTTCCCTGATATCTGCTGGCAATATAACACAGCAGAGAGGCAACAGTCCTGGAGATACTTGTAGTGTGTGGAAGACAACTTCCTAACTCAGCTGGTGAGGGAACCGACTAGGGAAAGTGCCCTACTGGACCTGCTGATAGTTAACTCAGAAGGTCTTGTGGGGGATGTAAATGTTGGAGGCCGTCTTGGACAGAGTGATCACGAAATGATAAAATTTTCAATTCTTGCTGAAGCAAGGTGGGGGGCCAGCAAGACTGCCACCTTGGACTTCCGAAGGGCAGACTTGGGCCTCTTCAGGAGCATGGTTGAGTGTCCCTTGGGAGACAGTCCTTAAGGTCAAGGGTGCCCAGGAAGGCTGGTCGTACTTCAAGGAAGCACTCTTAAAGGTGCAGGAGCCATACCCAAGTCTCAAAAAACAAGCAGGAAGGGAAGAAGACCAGCTTGGCTAAATAGAGAGCTTCGGCTGGAACTCAGGAACAAAAAGAAGGTTTATAATCTTTGGAAAAGGGGCCTGGCAGGCAAGGAGAAATACCAGGAAGCGGTGATGATATGCAGGGGGAAAATTAGAAGGGCCAAGACTCAAGCTGAGCTCATCTTGGCCACTAAAGTTAACAATAACAAAAAGGGTTTTTTTCGGTATGTTAACAGTAAGAGAAAGATTAGGGATAATGTGGGCCCACTGATGAATGAGGTAGGCACCCTAGTAGTGGAAGACACGAAGAAAGCAGAGTTGCTGAATGCTGCCTTTTCTTCGGTCTTCACTGTTAGGACTGCCCCTCATAAATCCCTGGCCTTGGAGGCAAAGGGGATGGTATGGAGAGAGGAAATTTTTCCTCTAGTAGAGGAGGACCAGGTTCGGGACCACTTGGCCAAACTGTACATTCATAAGTCCGTGGGCCCTGATGGGATGCACCCGCGAGTGCTGAGAGAGCTGGCAGACGTTATCACTGGGCTACTCTATCATCCTTGAGAAGTCATGGAGAACAGGAGAGGTGCCTGAGGACTGGAGGAAGGCCAACATCACTCCAGTCTTCAAAAAGGGCAAGAAGGAGGACCCTGGGAACTCCAGAGCAGTTAGTCTCACTTCTGTCCCTGGGAAGGTAATGGAGAGACTCATTCTAGATGTCATCTCCAAAAAAGTTGAAGAGCGGGGGGTTATTGGAAGTGGGCAACATGGGTTTACCAAGGGTAAATCGTGTTTGACCAATCTGATGGCCTTCTACGATGCTATAACTGGTTGGTTGGATGAGGGGAGGGCAGCAGATGTCATCTACTTTGACTTCAGCAAGGCTGTTGACACTGTCTCCTGTAACATCCTCATTGGGAAACTAAGGCAGTATGGGCTGGGTGAGGGGACAGTGGGGTGGATTGAGAACTGGCTGTTCAGGTAATTGGTAATTACTCGCTGTAACTAATCATTACAAAGGGTAATGATTAATGGAGCAGGTTCAAGTTGGAAGCCTCTAACCAGTGGTGTCCCCAAGGGGTCAATACTTGGTCCAGTGCTGTTCAACATATTCATCAGTGACCTGAATGGGGGGACAGAGTGTATCCTCAGCAAGTTCGCTGATGATACCAAACTGGGAGGGGTGGCTGACACCCTGGAGGGCTGTGCTGCCATCCAGTGAGACTTGGACAGGCTAGAGAGCTGGGCAAGGAAGAACCTCATGAGGTTCAACAGGGAAACGTTTAGGGTCCTGCACCTGGGGAAGAAGAATGTCAGGCACCAGTACAGGTTAGGCGTGGACCTGCTGGAGACAATTTCTGAAGAGAAAGATCTAGGGGTCCTGGTGGTCAGCAAAATGGCAATGAGCAAGCAGTGTGCTCTTGTGGCCAGGAAGGCCAACGGAATCCTGGGCTGCATAGGGAAGAGTGTAGCCAGCAGGTCAAGGGAAGTCATTCTCTCCCTCTACTCTGCACTGGTGAGGCCACAACTGGAATACTGTGTCCAGTTCTGGGCTCCCCAGTTCAAGAGGACAGGAAACTACTGGAAGGAGTCCAGCGAAGGGCAACAAAGATGATTCAAGGATTGGAGCATCTCCCTTATGAGGAGAGACTGAGAGAGCTGGGACTCTTTAGTCTGGAGAAGAGAAGGCTGAGGGGAGACCTTATTAATGCTTACGAGTATCTCAAGGGAGGGTTGAAGGAGGAGGGAGCCAGACTCTTTTCAGTGGTTCCCAGTGAGAGGACGAGGGGCAACGGGCACAAGTTGGAACATAAGAGGTTCCACTCAAATATGAGAAAAAACTTCTTCACAGTAAGGTGACAGAGCCCTGGAACAGGCTGCCCAGGGAGGTTGTGGAGTCCCCTTCTTTGGAGATTTTCAAGACCCGCTTGGATGCAGTCCTGAGTAACATGCTCTGACAAGCTCTGGGCAATCCTGCCTTAGCAAGGGAGTTGGACTAGATGATCTCTATGGTCCCTTCCAACTCTAAAATTCAGTGAAATTCAGTAACTAAGCTTTCATTGCTTACCTAAATATTTCCACTCATTCTACCAACCATATCGGGACCCACTGTTGAGTTTTCTAAGTGCCTCTGTTTTTCATTAAGGTTCTTATTTAGATTTTCTCTCAAATGAGCTATTTATTCCTAAAAGTAATTTATCTGGAATGCTTTCTTTAACAGCAGCTCACAATGAATGCAATGAAGAAATAAGTTCTGAAAGAGGTAAGTAGATTCTTCACAAGTAACATGCCAATGCCAGTTTTAACTTCCTTTTAACTCAAGGAACATTCTTTTGCTTAAAGTAGCTGCAAGTAATTGGGTACAAAAGAAGATAGTGATATGGGTAAATAACCATATCAAAACTGTTTGTGTAACATGAGTTGTCAAGCAAATACTGTTAAACCCATTATGTTTGAACTTCATTCCTCTTTAAATTACTGGGCAGCACAGTAGTCTTTATTTAGGTGAGAATGAACCAACTTTTTGGAATGAGGTGCTGTAGAATTCCTCTGTTGCTGGCTGTTTCTTCTTTCTGATGGTAAAGCTTATATACTTAAGACACAAGTATTAAGAGAACTTAATTAGCAATAATGTGGGCATCTAAGTGATGATAGCCATTAAAGTGAACCATGAAGGAACAGCAGATTCTCAGTTTCAGATGCTACAGCATCTGGTATTCTATTTCTGGAAAACAGGCTTGATGTGTTTTACCAAGTGCAAGTTACTAAATGTAATGATCTGTATGTGCAGAGGTCAGGTTGAAATGTATAATGAATAATGACTTTCTGACATGTATTCGAAGTGTCAGTTGGGGCAATGTAATAGTGAACTCCTGACTTGTGTATGAATAACTTTGGTTCTTGATTCTTCCTCATTTGAGGTCCCTGTGAGATGGCTTCTATTGCTAACCTTTTAGTGAGCATCAAATAATTAATTTTGTACCTCTGAGATTATTCCTTAAGGAATGCAGAATAGTAAATATATTGCCATCAAGAGATTAATTTTATTCTTGTGGATTAATAAAACACATTGTTATTGACTAATTTATTGTGTAATCAGTTTTTGTGGTAGGACTGGGTTTTTTTTTTTTTTACATGGTGGTGAAGTACAGCTCTTAAAAGTATGGTCCTTAAGCAAATGTGAGACAAGAATGCATTGCAAAAGTCTGACTTTATTTTTGAGTTTTAGGTCTAGTAATATAAAACTAAGTGCTAATAGAATTAATCTATGAAATTTTATGCCTTCCTGCAAGGTGGAGATAAGTCTAAGTGACATCCCACTGAACTTAACTTGAACAAGTCCCTATTAAAGCTATTTTAAGTTTTCTTTATATTGTTTACGAACTTGAATGGTTATATTCTTCAGGTCCAAAGGTGACTTATGTGCCCCCTCCTCCACCTGATGATGAGCAAGCCATCTTTGCACGTTATCAGACAGGAACTAATTTTGACAAGTATGATGAAAACATTGTCAAAGTCTCAGGACTTGACCCTCCAGCACCATTACTGGTTAGTGAACTCATTAATCTTAGGGTTTATGGGATGTATAATTATTTACTTCTAATGAACATATTAATAAGTACTTTGAATTTTGTGGAGATGCTGCCCATTTGAAATATATAAATTTGAATTCAAAATGACATCGACAAAGTACAGAAATTTCCCAGAGAAAGTAATGCTGGATGGACAGGAGGCACAGTCCTTAAATGTCAGATATAAAGTGGCATTTTTCTCCAAGAAAGAGGTCTTTGGCAGCAGTTTCTGGGAAGACTAGTCTGTTACTGGGGGATCATCAACAATGTAACTGAACGCCTGTTGGAATAGTTTGCATTTAGACAGAGGCACTTAGAAGACATTCCTAGCTGTTTTCTGTGGCTGCTGTTTATTGTTTAAAAGTAATACACAATTTTGCTTCTACTACTTATCAGATGGCTGGTGTTTGTTTTTGTTTTTTTTTTTTTAAAAGAAGCTATTTTTAGGGAGAATTATGAAGAAGGGCGGAAGGGTTAGTAGCACCTGTGTTGAAACAGAAGATGCAGAGGTTTTCATCCCCATCCACCTGCTGAAAGGTTTTCTCACTGAAGTTAAACTGACTTTGACACACATGATGCTTTTTGGTCCTGGATAGGGATGTTGCTTTAGCTTCTGTATTGACTTTAACACAGACTGAATGTGTATTGCCTACATGAAGTTAAACTGAAGCATTTTAGTTTGTGTTCATAGCATGCCATGATGTGAGTTTACCTGCTTGAATCCACATGTGTATCTTCTGAGCACTTTTCTCTCAAAGCTAATAGCACCAGCTGAAGGCCTTTCCTGTCCTGTAAAAAACTACTTGAATGGCCTGAGCAGGTTGAAGAAACCTTTGGTACTTTTACCTGTGGGAACCTTGGTGATCTAGATGACTGGTGAGACACCCCTCAAAAGTGGATACCTTTCAGTGTTTGCATGTCTGTGTCCTATGATAAGCATCTCAGTTTTTAAACTTCAACTTCTGTGGTTATGCGCTGTTAATAATATCTTTTTCTTACAGTCTTTTGAAAAAGCTAACCTTTGTCGGACTTTAAACGTGAACATTGCTAAAGCTGGATACTCTAAACTTACTCCAGTACAGAAGTACAGCATTCCTATTATACTGGCAGGACGGGATTTAATGGCATGTGCCCAGACAGGATCGGGAAAAACTGTAAGCATTTTGTGTAGTATTCATACTACTGGAAGTGTGTGACCATGAATTTTTAGGTGGATGCGCAAGTCTTCCATGCACCAGATGCTTCACAGCTTATTTTTTAATGGTTTGACTGCAATGGCAATTGTATTAGCCACAGACAGGAATGATGGGTGGTTGTATTTTTGGGCTGAATTTCTCTTTACCTTCTCTCACCTGGTATCTTGATACAGCAGGCCAGTCTTCAAAGCTACAGATACAGATTGAGAAGTATAGACAGTCATAGAAACTGCTGATGAGAAAAAACAGTTCAGAGTTGGATTTTATTTCTGTGTTGTGTGGAGTTTTGTGTTGGTAGTGTTTTTTGGTGTTGGCTTGTGTTTTTCTGTTTTTTGGTCTGTGCACTGGATTTAGTTTTAGGTGATTCAGTATTTGTCATAGAACAGTTTTGAGAGCTGATGCCAATTGTACAGTTGTCTCAACTTGTTAAACTGCCTAATGTAACCAGTTCTGACCACTGACAGCTCTGTGTGAGGATATTAAGTATAGCTTTTTGCCGTTCAGTAGAGTGTGGAATTCTAGCTTTGTGGTATAGCTTAGTAGTTACTTGTTTTGAAAAAGCTCTTCTGTTTGCAGAGGAGAATATGTCCAAAGCTTATGTTATAAATATTCTGAATGCTTTTGGGACTGCTGTACAAATTCTCTTTTGGCAGTAACTAGTCTTACATCAATGTAAGGGTACTGGTGCAGCAGTGTTGCAAACTGATCTACTATTGTAGTAGCATGGAGAATGGTGATACATGGTTACCTTACAAATCAGCTGATGGTGATGAGAGGCTTGTAAGTAAATGTTAAGGAGAGGTTTTGATCCTGGGGTACGTAACTATTAATGTATGTCAGCATGATGTGTGGAACTTCCTGAAGAACCCAGGAGTTAGCTAGCACATGACTGTGTTTCTGTGTTACTAGACTCTTAAATTGCAGAGAGAGTTTCATTCTTCTGAAAAAGAAAGAAGCTTAAATGTTCTGTAGTGTGTTCAGGTCAATCCTTTTGCAGTCTAATTACCTTGAGGTTGATAGTGTGCTGTATGATTCTAGCTATAAGATTGATATGCAGCATTAGTGTGACTGATGAAAACTTTAAGACTACACAGTATAAATACTGATGGTTTTTATTTTTAGGCAGCTTTTCTTCTACCAATTGTGGCCCACATGATGAGAGATGGCATAACTGCCAGTAGCTTTAAAGAGCAGCAAGAACCAGAATGTATTATTGTTGCCCCAACCAGAGAACTGATAAATCAAATCTTCCTAGAAGCAAGGAAATTTGTGTATGGGTAAGCTTTTGCACTGTTGCCTGGTATTGGTGATTACTTTGTCAAAACCTTTTCTGTACCAACTGAATGCAGCTATTCCTCCTGGTACTGAAGAGATGGGGAGGGAAGAGGCTTACTCCAGCTTGAAGAGGAGATAAGTACTAAACTTGCATCACGTCATCTTTAACATCTTTGTCAGTGACATGGACAGTGGGATTAAGTGCAGTCGCAGCAATTTTGCTGCCAACACCAAGCTATGTGGTGTGGGACATACTGGAGCAGAGGAATGTCATCCAGAGGGACCAGGACACGCTTGAGAGGTGGGCCGGTACAAACATCATGAAGTTAAACAAGGCGAAGTGCAAGGTCCTGCCTGTAGGTTGGGGCAATCCCAAGCACAGATACAGGCTGGGCAGAGAGTGGCTTCAGAACAGCTTTGAGGAGAAGGACTTCAGGGATGTTGATTGATGAGAAACTCAATGTGAGCTGGCAATGTGCACTCAAAGCCCAGAAAGCCAACTGCATCCTGGACCGCGTCAAAAGAAATGTGGCCAGCAGGTTGAGGGAGGTGACTGCACCTCTGTCCCGCTCTGATGAGATCCCACCTGGAGTACTGTGCCCAGCTCTGGGGCCAACAACATAGGAGGAACATAGACCTGTTGGAATGGCTCCAGCAGAGGGCCATGAAGATGATCAGAGGGCTGGAGCACCTCTCCTGTGATGACAGGCTGAGAGAGTTAGGGTTGTTCAGCCTGAAGAAGAGAAGACTCTGGAGAGGTGTTATGGCAGCCTTTCAGTACTTAAAGGGGGTCTACAGGAGAGCTGGGGAGTGACTCTTGATCAGGGAGCGTAGTGACAGGAGGAGACATAATGGTTTAAACTGGAAGAGGGTAGATTTAGATGAGATACTGCGAAGAAATTCTTTACTGTGGGGTGGTGGGGCACTGGAACAGGTTGCCCAGAGAAGCTGTGGATGCCCCATCCCTGGAGGTGTTCAAGGCCAGGCTGGATGGGGCTTCGAGCAACCTGGTCTAGTGGGAGGTGTTCCTGCCCATGGCAGGGGGTTTGAAACTAGATGAACTTTAAGGTCCTTCCAACCCAAATCATTCTATGAAAAATGAAATCTCATGGGCTAAATTTGACTTCTCTTTGTTTATGCAAGCAAACTTACCCTTGGAGGCTGTCTCTGTCTTTGGGAAGTACCATCATGTTTGCATATCTACTTACTAAGCACTTTCTAAGAATAGCTTCTTAATCTCTAAATGTAGCTAGTTCTATTAATTAGGCTATTTTAGACTAGATACAGATTATTTCACAATAAAATAGCTTTTGAATTTATAAAGTTTCTGCTACACCTGTCCTGCAGTAAAAGCAAGATAATCTACTTTTGGGGACAGTTAAACAATATTCGGGTGTGAATCTGCTGTCTCTAAAGAGTTGCATGCATATTGCTTGGTCCAGATTCATTATATTCTTAAGGTCTTTGATTTGGTTCATAAATAGGGCAAATTTAGTTCATAAATACATACATTAATTGATAGTTAATAAATGTTGAAATGTTATGAGTCCAACTTGTTTCTAGTCTTGACTAAAGCTGTCTGAAAAGTTCCAGCTAAACCTGCAAAATGTTCCCCGGTTTACCTGATTCACCGATGTTGCATATGAACCTGCATTACTATATTGAAGAATAGGCAGTTTGAATTAAAGTGTGAAAATACTCATTGCATGCATGTAATGGTGGTTCTGTTTTTTCTAAGTATGCTGTCTAAAAGTGGACAATGTCTAATACCATTTTGTCTCTTACTGCCCGTAATTCTCAGTTGAAAGGAGAGGAAAGAATGCAGGTGCAATAAATTGTTCTTTCCTAGCAAGCCCTCTGTACAGCCTCCATGATGTGATGGGAATGGGAACTTTGAGCTTATGGTCAGTGAGTTTCTAGTCTTGGGTCCTGCTTTTGGCTATAATATATGCTGTATAGTGAAATAATTGAACCACTCTAAGCTGGTTTGTGGTAGATCTGATGATTTTTTTTACATATTTTCGTGAAACAATACTGTTTGCATACTTACATAATTAATCCTTTTTTTTTTTTCCCTTTATAATAGAACTTGTATAAGGCCTGTTGTCATCTATGGAGGTACACAAACAGGCCATTCAATTCGTCAGATAATGCAAGGCTGTAATATACTATGTGCTACTCCAGGAAGGCTTCTAGACATCATTAGAAGAGAGAAGGTAAGATATTAAAACTTAATCTGAATTCTCTAAACACTCTTAGCTTTTTATGTACTGGTTTTTATTCTTTAGATTTAATAAAAACGAAGAGAGCCATGAAAACCAATCAGTATGCTGCCTTCATACAGGCACTTTACGTAAAATACAAATGAGCTTTTCTTAGAATATCTAAGTACCATAAGGATTCTTGAAAGAGTAGCCTGAGTCCAGATCTCTTCAGTCCCTTTCAGGGCCCAATGGAAATAGTCTAAATCAAACTGGCTGCAGTGCTCTTGGCAATTAAATTTTACAGTTCAAATACATGGAACATGTTCTGGTGGTTCTTGTGGAAAATTCCACAGCAGATTCTCACTTGATGTCCTGTTCGTTTTGCTACAACAGCTTTTACCTGTCTGGAACGATGGTAATATTTGTTCTTTGAATGTTTTAATACTAATATTATTCAAAATACATAAAACTCCAGGTGTGATACTATATTTGCATTTTTATTTTTCCATCCATTATACATTTAAATCTGAATTGCTATGTAATGGTGGCACAGTGATGTTGCACTGACAAATGAAGTTTGGACAAACACTTCTTGGTAATAAACTGGAGATTGTTTTCCTGTGGTTGTCAGGCTTCTAGTAAAAAATCAGTTTTGGTCAGCAGCACTGAACTTGTAATGTCCTTAATAATGCTTCCTGACATCAGTTTTTTCAGAACAAGGAGCTTTTTGAGAATGTGTGAGGATTATGGGAGAACTTATCTAAAACTCAAGACCTAATTGCAAAATAGCTATGCTGAATAATACTGGCTTAATAGGCTGTATCTTGGTTTACATTGCTGAACCAAGTTCTGAAGGTATGCATATTTATTAGAATTAGTGCAAATTTAAAAGTTAAATAGAGATTGAAATGCAAATAGAACATAATCCACATAGTCTTTTATTTGTGATTAATTAATTTCTGCTAGAAAGTAAAAGTTGAATTTTGGCAATTAAGACATTCTGTAAGTACATACTGTGAACCAATATGTTTTTTTCTTTAACTTAAATACTTGCAGATTGGTTTGCATAACGTGAAATATCTGGTGTTAGATGAAGCGGACCGCATGCTTGATATGGGTTTTGGGTTAGATATGAAGAAGCTGATTTCTCACCCAAGCATGCCACCAAAAGACAAACGTCAAACACTAATGTTTAGTGCCACTTTTCCTGAAGAAGTTCAGAGGTGAGTGAAGTAAAAATGGAAATATATATGAAGATGTACTTGTATAGAACTAAATTTCTGAGGAGTTCTTAAGAGCTCTCCTTACATTTGAAAGCTGATCTTGCTAGAAGGTACTGAAAAGGTGTGATGTTAATATTCGTTGCTGAAGACTTCCCTTTTTTTTAGGTAGCAACACTAGTAACTTGCATAGGTTAACTGCTTAATATTGGTAAGGACTCTAAACCAACTAAGGAAGTTTGTCTGAAAGCTTTTAAATTCCTCTTCTGCAGAAGTCCTCATGCTTCCCCTGTTTGTTTCTTTTTCCTTCTTTGTCACATGTGTGCAAGTTCAAAACTGGTGGTTTTGCTGTTGTACAAGGAACACTGGTAGTGCTGTCTTTAGCACCAGGACATTTTTTCAGAGGGTTTGAACTTGCCCTTTGCTTTCAATTTAGAACTACATCTCTGAGAGGTCTTAAACCAGTCAGATCTTAAGACCAAACACATTTAAGTCTCTAATTTGTTTATTTGCTATGAAAAGCACCTTTTCAGTGGCAATTACACACTGTAATGTAGGTAGAGCTTTCTGAGATGGCTAGAAAAATGCAGTGTTTGTGTTCTATGAAAAGGTGCAGGGATCCAATCAGTCTGTGCACCTTCTTTTTTTGTACAGCTTTCTAGAAAGCAATACAGATTCTTTAACTTCTTAAAAATTGCACATATGACTATTTATTTACTCTGCCTTGTGAGGAATGATACAAGTTGTGAGGATTGTTTAACCCTATATGAAGTTACTTGATCTTGATCAAGGCAAAACCAAACTCCATAACAGACTTTGTGTTGCTTAATTTTGTTTCTTTTCAAGGCTGGCTAGTGAATTTCTGAAAACTGATTATTTATTTGTCGTTGTTGGACACATGGGTGGAGCTTGTAGTGACGTTCAGCAAAGTGTTCTTCAGGTTCCTCGATATTCCAAGAGGGATAAACTGATAGAAATTCTACAAAGCATCGGTAACTTTTCTTATTGCTAATTGTTTTCCAGGGAAGACAGAATTGTTTGTTTGTAAACGTAACGCTTTTGCTATTGACCAGGTCATGATTCCATTCTGTTACGTGTGTTACATGCTTTACAAGACTATTGATTGAAGCTTGAAGCAGACCTTGGAGTTCTAGGTTTTTAGGTGTACTTGTTTTATGGGTATTTGTTAAGGTCCTGTCTCTGAGTAGTAGCAAGACAAGCTTCTCAGGTGGTTAGATGCTTTATGTGGTCAATTACAATACTTGCGCATCTGGGGGTGTTACCTCCAAATTACAGGTGTATTAAAATTCTTATGTGAATGTTTGGGCCTGTATTTTGTTAATGGATGGGATTTTTCCCTTTTTTCTTTGAATGTGTCTTATGGTTTAATGTTGAAAACCAAAAGGGAGTTCAGAATTTAAAAATGGTATGTGTACCTTGCTGTTTGGTGCTCAGAATTGCATGCTGCTTTTAGCCACATGCTGCAGAACAAGAATGTGTACTTGTCACAGAGAACAAGTTTCCTGCTTGTGTTGAGGAGAAAAATGCAATGCACTTGTCTTCACCTAGGTTTCTGTGTTCATCTAGAAATTTATGGATTGAATTTAATTAGTTCTGCAGTATGATTGTAATTTCTTGTCCCTTAAAGACTTTATTCAAAACCTGTTCTGATGCTAGGTGTTTAAATAAGTAACTGCAACTGTGATTAGTGAAAATGCATTGGGTTTCAAACTGCAGTGAATCTGAACTCTTTTTTTTAACATAGGTAATGAACGAACCATGGTGTTTGTGGACACAAAGAAAAAAGCAGACTACATTGCAGCCTTTCTTTGTCAAGAAAAAATACCAACCACTAGCATCCATGGGTAAGGATTTTCAAGTGAAAATCATGTGAATATCACTTAATACTATATCTTGTCAGAAGCTTTTTGTGAGATTTCATGTTTGGCCATATTTGTGTCAGTTAGCTTGCCTTGTTTGAGATAGCCCTGTGATCCTTGGCAGATCTGCCCATATGATATGGTGGCCTTTCTGAAGGCCAGTTCTCACAGTATTTGCTGAGTATATGTCTTTCTGGTTGACCACACTTCAGATGGTACATATGACCTGGAGAATATTATGACTCCTGCTAAAAAAACAGTTTATAATCAATTCAGTTGAATGTGCTGATGTTTGTATGTCAATTTTTGTCATCATTTGTGTAACCAAACCCAGACCTTTACTGGTGTGATGATATTCATAAATTCAAATGGCAGGTGTGGACCTTCATTCTTGTCTTAAAGGCTTCCTCAAAGAAGCAAGATAAGTGGAGTCATGTACCATCCAGATTTCTAGTGCTATCATTGCTGCCTCCTGGACATGTACAAGGGCATAGCATCTATATGGAGATTGATCTAAAGAGAAGATGCTTCTAACTTGTGTTTGTGGTCTACTCATTAGTGTTGCATACCTGAACAAATGCTGAGAAACAAGGTGAAACAGTTGCTAATTTCAGGTCTAAACCCATCTAAAAAGGTACTCTGTCTCTAAAGTAATGAGCTCAAATGTAGTTCTGTGGTGTTAGTTTATATGTCAAAACGTAAGACAAGAAACTGAATCTGAAGATTCCCAGTGAACTGAAGCACATTAAAAAATGTAATTTTGCAATTTTTTTCATCTTGAAATATGAGGAAGGGACTTGAATTCCTGCCAATAAGAGAGTGTTTTGCGCGGTGTTCTGACAGACATCAGAATATCAAGGTTGTAGATAGGTTAAAATTATTTTAAACAGAGATACAAGGTGTTTCTGTGTATCCTGTGCCCTGTCAGTTTTACAGCTGTCCGAAGGGTCATTTTGAGACAATTTGGCCTTCTGTTCTTGACTAGTGTGAATTGCTATCTCACAACCTGTCTTGTGTGGGAGGAGGTTCTTTACACATTTCTGTAGAATTATTACACTGAGAGTTAAGGTATACTTAGAATAATTGGTTCCATGGAAGCTGCTAAACTTTCATGAATGTTACGGATCTCCGATTGCTTGAGTTTTTTGATTTGAAGTTAGTTATGATAGTTGCTCTTCTGCGGAATAGTGGTCCTACCAGACTTCACTAAATGTCCCATGTTAGATTCAAAAGAGTGCTGGTTTTTAATTTGCTCTTTCATTTGGACAACAAAGAACAAGAATTGAACTCTGATCTCTGTATTTAAATACCAGTTAATCTGTAAATATTCTTTAAAACCTCAGAGCAAATGTAGTTTTCTTCTTGTGATGATAAACAAAAGGCAAGTTCTGTACTGTTGGCTGGCTGCACTTTCTGGTATATCTGAAAAGTGACCTGTGCAGGACTCTAGGTAGACTTCGTGTTTGTTCTAGCTCTCTCCTACGAAGCAGCAGGAAAAGCACTTCTACCTATGGCATGAGGAATCAATCAGTTAAACAATTGGATCTTCTTAGGGAGGCAGTCAGTTTGACACGACTGTCTCTAGGTTTTTTTTTTTTTAAATACTAATTTCTCTAGAGACTTAGGTTAAAATAGTTGCTGTGTCTTGCTGCTGCTCACTTAAAAATTCAGAACCTAAACTGGTAGTGTGAGGTTATTGTGTGTAGGTTATTAATTGTGTCCATGAATTGTGACGTTTTAGCTTGTATCATTAATAATACTGCACATTTTCCAAGACATGCATTCTAACCATTGCTTTCTTTATAGAGATAGAGAGCAGAGAGAGAGAGAGGTAGCTCTTCAGGACTTTCGTTCTGGAAAATGTCCAGTTATTGTGGCAACTTCAGTGGCAGCAAGAGGTCTGGATATAGAAAATGTTCAACATGTTATTAATTTTGATCTTCCTTCCACCATCGAAGAGTATGTACACCGAATTGGACGAACTGGTCGTTGTGGAAATCCAGGCAAAGCAATCTGCTTCTTTGATAACAGTTCAGATGGCCATCTTGCACAACCTCTAGTTAAAGTGCTTTCAGCTGTAAGTTTCGAATTTTAGCGCTTAATGTTTTCTGTTCTTAAGGATTTCAGTTTTTAATGTACTGAGCAACTCTTATTTCTTTGGTGCAGTTGTGGAACTCTTAATATGAATTGGTAAAGCAGTCAAAGTCTCTAAATTTACATTTGTAATTTTTAGGCCCAGCAGGAAGTTCCTGCTTGGTTGGAAGAAATTGCTTTTGATTTTCAAGGAGGAAGACCCTTCACATCAGCTAATACCCAAAAGGTAAGTCTGGAAATTTGGCTTCTAGAACGCTTTCTCAGTATAACAGTATGTTTAGCATTACAAATCCAGGGTAATGCCACTGAAACTGTTTCAACTGTAACTGTATCCCTTATCTTAGTTGTGCGTTTTCAAAGTGCTTGGTATTTCTGAAACTAATTTTGGACAACTCTCTTGGCTTGGACTCTCACAGTTTAGCGTTTCTAGTTGCATTAAAAATTCTTATCTTCAGTGTCAATAATTACTCTGTGAAAGAAAATGTTTGTGCAAACATAAGCAAAGGTGGTAGTTCCAGAAGTTTCTCTGCTGCACATGTAGGGCAGGAGCAAATATTTGCTAGTTACACACTCACTACTTCTTATGAATTGCTCAGTCAGGTAACTCATTTGTATAAAAATTCAGCCAGCTATAATTAGATAAATGCCCTAATCTTGTCTATGTTGAAATTGTTCTTGATGTCTGATAATGAGTTTCCTTGTGGTCTCTTGAGTGCTGCTGATACCAGATGTTAAAATGCAGCTTGAGTAAACGAGACAGCCTAGGTAGCATAGCTCTCAAATCACTCTGCAGTCACTAGTTTAAGATTTAAATTCTTTGCGTACTCCTACTTCAAATGATATGTTTTTCTAACTGATGTTTGATATTGCTTGTATCTACTTGGATTTTAATGCCTTCATCAAAATTTTTTCGTTGATCTCTTCTTCTGTAAGAACTTTGTCAGATCTCAGCCTCATGCCAAATGTTAGTACTTGGTTAGAGAACCACAAGAGATGTAATTACTCTGTTTACACAATGTCTGAAGTTGAAGCTCAAGCTCAGACCTTCCTTTCATTAATTATCTTTTTCCATACCATAATTATTGAAAGTATTGGGTGTTTTGGGCATATTTACCTGCTTCCCTACTCAGATGTGAATCTTTTTTGATTCGGGTCTTTATGGGACCTCAATTACACACTTCAAACTTTTGGTTCCTTCTTACACTTGCAGTCTCAGTGGATCTTTCTTTATTCCTGTCCAAGGACACTTATGTTTTGTATAGGTTGCTTTCAAAGGTGGATCTCCTCAACCTTTGAGTCTAGATTGCTGCCAAATACACACATCCAACCTTTGTGGAGTATCTCCCAGCATTTCATGAAATGTCATATCTAGATCTGTCTGTCCATATCTCGATCTGATCTTTACAACCACAAAGTCTGACTTTTGACTCTTGGTCTGCATACCTGTGAACAGAATAGTTTCAGGGGAAGGCTGTTTGTCTGCCTTGGGAGTACTGCCCTCTTAATTACGTGTATGCAGTGCACCACCTCTTGACTTGGAGATCATCAAGTTATAATTCCTTTCTTATGAGACCACCTGATGTCAGTGATTCTGACAGAAACTGCACATTGATACTTAGCCCTCTTTTTTTTCTTTGAAATTAATAACTAAAGCTGTGTTTTGCTGTTTTTACAATTACTCAAAGGGTAGACTTTATGTCATCTAGTGCTCAATAAGGATCCTGATGCCCTTTCTCCTCGGGAATAAAGGTAACATCTTAGTTGTGTTTTTACACTTCTTCCTTTCCCTTTCAAAGGGAGTGGATGAAAGGACCGTTTGAGAATCAAACAGTGAATTTGAAAGGATTTTTTTGGAGGCTCCTTAGTCATTATTTTGGGTCAATCTTAGAGATGACAGGGCTTCATCTGTTTTCCAAAGGAAAAAGATTTTGCTGGGAAAGTAATTCAGACAGTCATTCCTAAGTAAGAAATGGAGAAGGAAGTTTATCCCTGAAGTTGTGTGAACTGATTTGTGTTGGGTAAGAGAAGAAGTTTGGATTTGAACTCCAGCAAGGATTATTCCCACACCTGATAAAATCTGAGGTTGATTAAACTGCATTAATTTCACACTGGCATCTAAAAACCTTATGTATAGAAGTTTAGTGATGAAAAAGCATTTGTGTTTATTTAGAAATATGATGTTGAAATTACATTGAGACGCTTGCATGCAGAAAGATAAAATTGTGTTGTAGTGACTTTTACTATTAAATGATTGAAAGTGTTAATGATTCTAAACTAGTACCTGTTCTGTTTCCTAGAATTACGGAAGCAGAGGCAACATGAACCCAGAAGGAATGAAGATGTCATATTCTGCAAGCACATTGGAGTCATGGGATTAAAACTGCTTTAGTACCAAACTAGAATGTGTTCTGTTGTGCTTCAAGTGAACTGTTGCACTTACTGTTCCTTATTGTTGAGCTTATGGAACACTTAATGTTTAAAAGAGTAGCTTATATCATCTGCTAAACCTTTCAGCAACGTGTATGTACTGTTACGATGAACCCAATGATGATTATCACCTAATGTAGGAAGTCAAAAGCAATTTTGTAGGAAAAAAAAACAACCCACCTCAGGTGTTTTAGCATTAAAACTTTCATTAAGTGTTTGATGCTTGGTGGCTGGTATGCTGCTGTAAAAATATAGAGGTTTTGCAAGTGGAAAATAGTAGATCCCTTGAATGTGCTACTTTGTTTTCAAAATTTTGCGTGGGAAGATGGCCATGTGACCTAGTTTTGGAAAGAGTGTTGAGTAAAGGGCTGGTCTAAACTTAATGTTCATTCCTTTTTGTAGCAGATCAGTTACAAAATTTGAATCTAGTGATGGGATTACTTAAGATTAGGGGTCTGTTAAACATTTTTGTAAACAGTTACGTAATAAAGGCTTGAGCAGTGCATATTGGTGGTTGCTTTTACATCAGATATACAGAAGAGCATATGTCAGTGTGGTTTCATGAACTGATATTATTTCGACATACATAGAATATGTGCATCCCCATATGGAACTAAAGGTCAGTGGCTATATCCACAACTTAGTTGAAATACATGTTTTTACAGAGCCTTTTTCAGAGAAGGAGGGACCCCTGTGTTGTTTCTAGTATAATGTTTTTGCTTTTGACAGGCATGAGTACTTTTCTGTTATCTCTTCTGGAAAAGTTTACTTTAGAACAAGCTTGGTGGCTCATGTCCAGAACAATTTCCCAGATTTGTAGAAGCAATAGAGAGTAAGCAGCCATTAACAGTTCAAGGAGATTTCCTTGAAGTTGCTTTGTTAAAATTTTTTTAAATTTTTATTTACCAGTGCAGTATGCTACAAAGATGGTACTGTTCTAGCTACTATTATGTAGTACTTCGTCACATTTTGCTGCTGGGGCCTGTCAAGTGCTCAAATTGCTTAGTATCTTTCTTTAGAAGCAGTGCATGAAAAACTAAACATAATGGAATTTAACCTTCTTTAGAGGAGTTAAAGGTACAACTTGTCATACCTGACTAAAGGCTGTAAGATGGGGTGAGTGGAAGTTAACACTGCAGCAATCTCAGGCTTGCATTTTATTTGTATCTTGGAAAGTAATGATTGGAATAGCTTGTCAGTACCTATTGCAGTTTATCAAATATCTCAAATTGCTCCTACAAGACTTAGAGTTTATGCAGGGTGTTTATCAGAACACATGGGCTTTCCTTAAATATTTTGAGGAAAGAATATTCATCTTTGTGTAATTTGGAATGGGTGGGAAGAGGCTTGATAATCACTCTGGTTTTCTCAATAAAACTTTATCAAGTTAAAGGTAAAACTGAAAAGTGAATGTGTGTGCACACTTGCAGTATCTTTTCAATGCACATGTTTCACTGCTGATTTACTGTTTCATTGTTCTGTTCTTCATAGATACTTCTTGCATGTTGTCTTTTGAGCAGGGACTTGCTTCGCTTACTTCCTTGTGTTTCTAGGTAAAAAGAGGTTGCACAAACTTGTAGTTGAACTTGCCTGCATACATTCCTGAAGTATTGAAAGATAGTAGCATTATGCACTGAAGTACATTCTTTCTTCATTTTTCTGCTCCAGTAATGTGTAAATATAGGTTATCGTATTTATCAAAAATATTAACCACAATAACTTATTTAAGACAAAAGCAGTAACCAGATGCAATAGTTGTTAGTGGATTAAGTAGTATCTGCATAAATCTGGAACCTGTGGTAAAGTCTCTCTGGAACTTTTGGTGGCACAATACTTGCAGACATTTGTGCTTGAAGTTCGCTTTTACAACAGTCCATAAATAAAACATAGTACTATTCAACAGACATTATATTACTCTGGGTAAGGCAGACTTATTTGCATTCCCTTTTTTTGGAAATGTTTATTTCTTACCTGTGCATTCTACAACTTCAGTCTGTTTTTTTTCTGCATGTTCAGAACTGCCCCTTTCCTAAGGGAATCAAATTCACCATTTCTTTCATTTAAATAGTTCCTGAGGGCGGTAGGAGTTGCCACAGGTAGATGTTTTAATAATGTTATTTTTTTTCCTGCTACATTGTAAAAAACCACCCTAAACAAATTAAAAAAAAAACCAACTAAAACAACCTGTCCCTAAAATGGTAATGAAGTAATTTTAAGGGGAAAATAAGTCAGATTTACTGCTGTTTCTGAGAGTGTGAGAAATTGGAACACCAAGTCTGAAGTCAGATTATTTTGTCTGATCAGAAATACAGAATGCCTGTTGAAAAGTGAGGGAGGGAGAGCTAGGACTAAGGAAAATGGATAACTTCAAGAATATTTGACGAAAACTACAGTTCTGTCTTGAATACTCAGTTTTGTTTTAAGCCTCTTGTGACTCTTAAATACATGTTTATTCTTCAGAAAATTATTTCAGTCTTACTCTTTGCTGGAGGAAAGTGCAAACAAGGGAAGCTGGGGTGGGGAATAAACTGCACTGTCAGCTGCCTCTCTTTCTTTTATTCCTACACTCAAATGATTTTACATGGAGAACCTGTTGGGAGTCATGCTGGGAAATACTGTGTTGATACGTTCTTCGCTCAAGAGTGCCCTTGTCCTTCAGGTGGCAGTCAGGGTTAGCATTCAGAAAAGGTTTCACTGAACTGATTGAAACTTGAGAACAACTTGTACCTGTAATTCCTTTTAGATGCTTCTGCTGCCTATGGTTGTGCTAACCGCAGGTCTTTGAATGCCTGTTCCTGTCTTTACCTCCGTGCTACCATAAAAAAATGCTACTTGTGTTGTAGTGTAGTTCAAGATTAAGCTGGGGGTTCTTGACAAGCTAGTGCTGCAAAATGCCATCAAGCCTTCTTTCCTTCAACAATACTTTGAATGCTCTTTTTTCTTATTTTTCTGCCACACTACAACAGTAACACTTCAGTGCAGCGCCTCAGCTGGTTTTCCTCATGAGTTGTTTCTCATCAGAGTCTAGGAGGACTGCAGTCAGAGGGTGAAAAGGAAGGAAAGTCTGTAGAGATGACTAGTGACAACTGTGTTTTGACTGTGGATCCTGATAAAAACAGCAGTTCTAGGAGTGGCAAAGTGAAGTCAAGGATTTTTTTATATATCTGAAAAATGAAGGAGAAATTGCAGAGAGAATCTTGCCCAAGGGCTAGCTTTGAAAAATGGACTTTTTCTGAAACAAGCTCTGCTTCCCTAACTAGCGTAAATACCAATCCCATCTTTTTTTTTCCTGGAGTGGAAATGTGCTAGGACAGATGTCTGCTCTCTGATCCTGTAAACTCAAAAGGATGGTGTGTATGGCTGGGTTTTTTTTTGTTACTGGTCTGTCTGTGATCATTGATACAACGGTAGTTTTCTGAACATGTGCCAGAATTCATCTCACACTTGGTTTTTCATTGTCCAAAATTAATCTTAAAATGCTTTGATATGTTTGAATATATATAAAAAATAAATTACAGCAGTACAAAACAGATAACACACATTGTGATTATCCTAGTGCATCCTATTGCATTGCTATGCTAGGAACAAGAGTTGGTTTTAATATCCTTTATTTTCTGAGACTTGCACCAAATGATAAAAATGCATAGTTTTGGGGAAAATCTGTTGGATTTCCACCTCAGCTATTTTTGAGTCCTGTACTGATGGAAAGTCTAAATTTTGCTCTCCACGGTTGCCTAGGCTGTACCATACTACAGCACTGGCATTTGAACCTCCCTGGTGCACAGCTGTGATTGCAGGCAGCACCGTCCCTCTGTTACATTAATGTGCTATCACCACCCTGTAATTAAACTACATTGCCCTAGGTACTTGGTAATGCAGATTTACAAATAAATCATTACCCAAAATGCTGAGGCAATTAAGTTCTTACAGATGAAAATTACTGGTGTGTTAGTACAGAGGAAGGCTCAGCAATCCCACAAAGATTTGAATACTATTAATGAGTAAAAATATGCTAATAATTTTCAGGCCTATAGCAGTTGGGCAAGATGACCTCCAGAGTTACCTTCCAACCTCAACCATTCTGTGATTCTGATTCTGAGAACAAACCACCAGCAACTCAAATTTGAGAAGAATCTGGGAGTTCTGGCACATCACAGGATGACTGTGAACTGCTAGTTTTAAGCAGCTAGGAAAAAAAATATCTGAGGATGCATCAGGATCAGGAGAAGTTGAGGGAGCACTTGCTTCTCAGCCATAATAATTTTAATTTTAATAATTCATGAATACCATGCTGGGAGGAACCAGAAGATGTGTTCAAGAACAGGGCTGCTGCCCATAGTGACCTGGGCAGGCTGGGGGAACAAGTCTTCTGCAGTGCAGCTTGGACAAATCCTGAACTCTAATAGCATTTAAAATGAGAGCATTAAAATGGCTTAGAGAGTCTTGAGTGCCTTTCTTACTGAGATCATAATAGACCAGCACCTCCTGGTGCAGAACACCATCCTTGGTAGTTTCCCAGACCAGACGGGATAAAGCTCTGAGCCACATGTTCCAGTCTGCTCACTGATGCTTTCAGCAAGAGGCTGGACTGGGGACCTCTTACGATCCCTACTATTTCAGCTAGAAATAGGGGTGAAGAAAGCTACAGAGAGTCTCTTCTGAATTCAGGGTGTGATTGTAGTCATCAGTCTTGAAGAGGAACGAATTGAAATGATTTCTAGGGTAGTCAGAGGAACAGAGCGGGCAACAGTAGTCCAGAGAAGTGTAGCTCACATTTTTTTCCCCAAGCTAAAGTGAGATTTGATTTTTGTGAGACATACATAAACCAACATTGACAGCAAGTGTTTTTCATGCTAATAGGATGCTACTTTGAGGAGAATGATGTCCAATGCTTGTCACTAAAGGAAAGTGTAAACAGGAGGTTTACAGCCTTTGATCTGCAGCTACTAGC